AGGAATGTATCAAGTGATCAAATGCCACGCAAACACTATAGAAACAATACATCCTTGCTTGGTAGTGTTTTAAAGTCTATACAAAAATAAGAAAAAAGAACAACAACAACAAAAAAAACCTTCTGGGGAGCCTTAAGTGGATTTTTTTTACACCATAAAGTGATTATTAAGCTTTCTTTTTACTCTTTGCCTAGCTTTTTATTATCTCTTGGACTACATTTACCGATAACACGTATAGAAGACTGGTGTAACAGTAAGCAGAACACAAGCATTATGGTATTTCTCCTAGTGGGATGCAAACTAATGAGATGTATTAAAATAAAAATGGTATACCTATGCATAATTTTCTAGACGTTTTTGGTTTATGTTCCCCACTCTGCCCCCCTCTGCCCTGTAATTTAAAGCATAAAAAAAAAAAAAAAGAAGCAACGTGCTTAAACAAATCATAGGATACCCATGCAAACATCCTTTATTTCCCTTTGAAAGTTATGCCAGTTGCCTAATAGTGATATTGTATTAGCAATTGTCATTCTTATCAGTATACGACGTTTATTTCACATGTTGGAGCTGTGTGAAATGTACAAAAACTCTTCTTGTATCCGCATTGTACAATGTCATTGTGGCATGGGAAATTCCTTGCTGCATATATTTGAACAAAACCTAAAAATTCTTTATTTTTGGTAAAATGTTATGCTTTACGTGTATTCAACAGAAATATGTGTTTTTGTAAAGGTGAAGTTTGTATTTTTATCTAAAATTAACAGTTTTATATACCTGAGAAAGCCTGCTATGTTTTCTTGAACCAAAAAAAAAAAAAAAAAGCGGAAAAAAAAAAAAAAGCATTTTGTGGTCATATTTTTGTAGTAGAATAGCCCAAATATCTTCAAAATATATTTTAACTATAGCAGGGCAGATAGTCTTCAGGCACCAGTTCCTACATTTGCAAAGTGCTGAAGGATTTAACTGTTCAGCTTTCCCATGGCTTGTAATGGTAAATCCTTCTCCGCTGCTTTGGAAATTAAGTATTGTGCCAGATATTCTTGGCTACCCTCTTGGCCAAAACACTGCCCTTCCCCAGTGGTTTAGATTATATGCCCTTTGTTTTATTTCGATTATCACATTGGACATGTAAAATAAACTACTGGATTCTTTTTTCTTTATGAAACATCTCCAAAGAGATGAAAGATTTCTCTCTCCTTTGTATGTAATGACAAAAGAGCATGTCTTAAGAATCATGTTTCCACCCAGTTTAAATGTCTCCAAAAGTGAATGAACTGCAGAGCTTTAAAACGTAAGGAAAAAAACGAGAGAGAGAGAGATTTTTTAAAAAACTTTTCCACTTCTTTTAGATATGGTTCAAACATTCCCCCCCCAGACCTCCCCCTATTGCTATGTCCAGTTTCAACCAAACAAAGCAATTTTAACTAACAGGCATTATTGGCTTTGGATGCTAATGCAAAGATAGAGTTAGTCACAGTTCTATTTTGTGATCATTCTCTCAGTGTGTTACATTAAGCACCAAAACTGGAAATACATTTACTAAACCTGTCTGTGCTTGTTCTCCACTAAGTGTACTGTTCACAATGTTATGCACATGAATGTATGTGTCTGCGTTTAAAAAAAAAAAGTGTATAAAATGTAATTTATATATTTATGTTTCAGTGGGATGCCAATAATGTTGCTCAGTTCCTTTTTTTTTGTCTAAAGATATCTAATGAAAAAGAATTCATATATCCATTAAAATGATGTAGATGGAAAAAAAATACTATGTGACCCATTCAGACACTGTGCAGGTTTGAAAGGATGCCAAAGACACTTCCGTGGAACATTTTGTGAGCAAACTTTTCAAGACGACTATGGTTGTACTGCCACACAAGAATTTCCCTCAAATCATTCACGTGGGCTGGATTCTCATATAGCCTCATCTGGGATAACCCCAGTGAATGCTATGGAGCAATGCTGATGTACACCTCTTCAGGGTCTGGTCTTGTCTGAAGAAAACACAGCTGAAGGCATGCATTTTAGTTGCATATAATTGTGTCACACCACATTTGAAAGGAGGAGAGAATGAAGACTTTTCCAGTAATCATTTGTTTGAGATTTGAAGTCTGTAGCTGATTTCATTACCGGGAATTGGGAGTATACACGTCTTTGTTCTGAAGCCCAGTGTTTATATGGTACATAGTAGCAATCATCAAAATCTTAGAGGCAGAATCTCAGCCGGTATAAACTGACACTCTCCAGTGACTTTGCTGGTCCCACGCCAGTTTACATCAGCTGAAGCTCTCACTCGCAGTCTTTAAAATATGCTGAACAGCTTCATGGCCCTACTACCATTGACTCTATTCCAGTTGAATTGTACATGAAGGCATTTACAGTCCAGGTGTATTAGTCCTCATACACTTCTGTACTCCAGCAGACCCAGATGGAACAGTAACCTGATGGCGTGTAACCCAAAACAGCAATTCAAAGTTAAGTTGGGCAGTTGGAGGGCTAGATCCTTAACTGGGATAAGTCAATAAACTCCAGTGATTTAAATGGAAGTATGCCTGTTTACGTCACCTGATGGTCTGGTCCCCTATCCGTTAAGCAGGGAGCTCAGATCCTGGCGCATCGTTACTGTACTATGTGCTCCATAATGCTCAAGCAAAAGAAGTGACTTTAAGTGCGAGTGTCAGACTTAACTTTCAATTTCCATGCTTTCGAATCATTTATTTCCCCGATGTGGCTGTAAATTAAAGTTTTCTGTGCATTCGCAAACAAGGTGCAGTGGTTCTTCTCATGTCAATAGGAGGGAACATTATTTTCTTTATTAGCAAAAGGGGTAGAAGGTACATTACGAGACTTAAGTTACAGCATGTTCAGTATTAACAGAAAAGGGCATGACCAACAATTTCAAATATCCTTAAACCGAGAGCTGTTCAATAGACACCCTATTAAAAGGGAAGGGTGGGAAGTGATGGAAGGCTTTAATGAAATGGTGGGAAATTATTGTTTTCTGTAAATCTTGGGGCACATTTTGAGCATCTGATTTGGATGCTCAGTTCCTACTGGAACTTAACTGCAGTTTCTCTAGGTTCCCTATGCGGTTTTGAAAGTCTTGTCTTGAACGTTTATTTGAACCTCTCTTGGGCTGAAAAAATCTTGTGTCCTTTTAAGAACAAAAGCACGTGGTTTTGCATACGTCTCAAGTGGGGCACGTACTTGGCATTTCTGCAGCCCTGATTCTGGTCTTAGCCGATATCAGAAATACAGAGTTTTTGGCAAGGGGTTGGGGAAAAGAGACCAGTTTTTTCAGGCTTCAGTTTAAGGAACATGGGGATGGCAGTCAGCAATTTGGTTTCATTCCCCATAATTCACCTCTCCCTGCTGGGTGTCTTGTTGAAGTGGCTACAATATGCCTATCCATGGGTTAATAGTAAGGTGTTCCCTTTCTGTCATGCTTACATCCCATTGATGTCAGATAAATGAAGTTAAGCTCATGCTTTAGTGCACCTCTTGAAATTGTTGTGTTTTCCTGAATTGTGACTGCAATAGCAGGGTGGGGACATGATGGTGACAATGACAACTCGTAATGAGATCTCCATTGTAAATTAACCAACCTCAAGGATGGATTGAAAAGACTGGTATGAGGGAATAAGAGAAATATGTAGGAGACATCCCCACAATGTTTGTCATGTTAAAATACAAGGTTTAATAAGTAGCTTCTATACATTGCGGTACCTATGACCATGCTTAATATCCAATACAATTATTGCTCCTACCCCCAAAGCATGACATTGGCAAATGTTAGCTATAAATAAACTGAGTTTAGGATGACAAATTAGGATCCAGGAGAAATATTGCAATTTGATTTAGATAAGTATTGAATTTCCACTCACCTGGATATATAACTTGTCCTAGTGCATTCATTAAAACCAGGCATATCTGGCAGATCACAAATTTGGACAGAAGGTAGGTTTTTTTTTTTTTAACTGTGAAATGTAACCTGTGCCCTTACTTAGCTCTAAGCATTTGATTTATGAGAGAGAGAAATTAGAGTAAGTCATGTATGTCTAATCATCCTGGTACATATAAAAGGTTATGGCTTCTTTTCCTTGAACTACAACAGCATTATCATGCCATATGACTTTTGAGTCAGGGCATGCAAATCAACATGGTTGTAAATCAGAAGGACAACTCAGGGTGCAGCAACTTGTTTTCGCAGGGAACGTTGTGTTCAGCGGCTGCTTGAATGAAAAGCAACAGACTATGGTTTTCTTCTCTTCTAGAGTCGCTAACACCTGGTTCCTTAGGATGAGAGGCCTGTGTTCAGGCCTCTGCGCTATGGAAGAAATCCTGGTTATACTGATGTCAGTGAGATGTTTGCTTTTGATTTCTTTGGGGATTTCACCACATCCCTTTCTTTGAAGGGACTGAGGTGAATCAAATCACAATTGCATTTAATTCTTTCACTGGTAATCTAACCTTGCCTGCATTTGGTATAGAACTGCCTACCAGACTCCCTGCTGCTCACCCCATTTTCCTTTTAAGATCTTAAAATAACTGTTGATTTGCGCTCGATGCAAATCAACCTTGCGGACACCTTTCCCAGCCGTATGATCCAACTTAACAAGGTGAGGCACCCAGGTTTCCTATGAAATGATTGGGGAAACCTAGATGCCTCCTGTGGGTAATCCCAGGTTAACACAGTGCTCAGCAGTGAAACATTTACAACTAGCGGATCGGAAGCACTAAGTGCAGGAGTGCATCTGACTTGTGCTGCTCCATGCAGTGCCCGTGCCTGACTCAGGGCTGCGAGGGACGGGCCGTCATTTTGGAATCCAAAGCATGTAGCGTGGGGGGGGCTATGTCCTCTCTTGAAACCCCGAGGACACAACAGGGAGGCACTGCATGGACAGCGGCGTGGAGTTCAATAGGGAACACAGCACCCCTCATTGACACGAATGGCAGTGGTGGCACC